CCTGGCCTATGCTTATGTATAAGATATAGGTGTCCTATAGGCATAGGTGTAACCACTGTCTGCAAATGGTATGGGAAAGTGAGACGTTGACCAAATGAAAGATGGCTATGATTCATCAACTCTTTTAAAAATCTGAATCTCACTTGTCAATATTAATAACAGTTTAAAATAAGCTCCCGTCCCTTTAAAATTTCCTTTGTAAATTTATATTAAATGGTTATCTCTTCAAAACCCTGATTTAACCTTACCAAAGCCATCAGTTGCAGAATGAATCATGTTACAAATGAAGTCTCCTTTCTTATATTGAAGGAATGTGCCACTTCTTATAGTTTCTTTTATATATCCCCTGTTTGTAGGCACTTCACTAAGTTGCGCGCGCCGGTCGATTTTTCGGATGCGAGAAACAGACCATTAACCGGCGACCGGTCAATGCCGGTAGGTCACAGGGTCATGTTTAGATTTCGTTTCTTTGTCTATGTAAGGGAGAGACAATGAACTTCCTATAGTCTATTTTGTGCCCACGAGGAGGACGATCATTACAAAATAAACTTTTTCACCGGACTGACAGGGCTTGTGGCAGATATCTTTCGTTGGGAAAACAGGTAATTTTGCTAGCGCTATATTTCGGAAACCATTATCGTATTGCAATTAATTCCTTTTGTATTGAATGTTAAAGTGATTTAACTAATTGAAACAAGAAACATATTGACATTTAGATAGGCCGTAAATTGTATAAACAGGGCGTTCGGGCGTAAATTTGAGCAATAGCTCCTGACCAGTTATCGATAAGGCCAAATGCACCGGAAGTGATAACCATTCTCTGTTATTATTATTCTTATTGCATAAGAAGTATTTACAAATCTTTATAAATCTATTGTTTTTAAAAGCAATCCAGTTCATTTTTATTATTAAACTCGTTTTTATTTCATGAATGAAAACAAATTTATAAATATTTATGAAATTTCATTTTGTAAAATAATAAAATTTACATCCGTGATAACCATGTCAAAACTATATGATATATCAACTTGAATTATTTAAATATATGTTGTAATTGTAATAATTATCAAACTTCACAACAGTGAATTATATAATTGGAAATTAAATAATGCCCTTACTGATATAATTTATCTTAAACCCAGATTAGATACGGTAAACAATGAATAGTTGTTGTAGTAATAGGCTCAGCAGCTACTAAACTAAATACTAAATGTCATCACCTATTTCGATTAAATTTCATTATTTTATTTACCTTTGTATTCTAAATAACCTATCTCTCTTTTTTTTCATTTTCCTTTTGTATACCCTATTTTTTTTTAAAAATGTATATTCCTTTCTTGCCTCTAAACTCTACCGCTTTAGCTCAAAGCTATTATATTTGACTTTTCAGACTTAGCCCAATCTTTACTTTATATATGAAAAATGTTGTTAAAATTTCTTAAATTCCTCAGCATTTTCTTTCTTTTAAATACACAGCCATTTTCAGCCATTGCAGCCAATTGATAGACGAGCTGTCTTGAGGACCCATCAAGACTACCAGACTTTTTTACATAAGTAAATTTATATCTGTTAAAGCTCCTTAATGACTTAATGGATATGAAATACAAACTACTTGACTTAATCTGAATAAAAGTAATGTTAGAACATCACAGTATAATATCTATACATACTGGATATACAGCATAAGTAAAATAACCATTGTCTTAATTAATGAATAATTTAATTACAACATTATTAAACTACTGAATTACACAATCTTAAATTAAAGACATATATATAT